TCGATCCTCCGCCGTTCGTCGCCACCCTCTTGTTCCCTGAGCCGTTCCTTTGCTCCCCTCGTGACTTCCCTCCCCCCCTGGCCGTCCGGTTTCCCTCTGTGACGAGTTAGAGGGAGGCCTATCCGTTTTCAGGTCTCCTCCGCTTCACCTCCAACCTCCGCCTCCGCTTTCCACCCCGTTTCTCCCTTGCCGTGCCACGTGCACGAGGTACTATCTTCCTGTCTGCCGTCTTCGTTTTTCGTCGCGTTCCTTTTTACGTTTTCCAGCGGGGTTCCGCGAGTATGGCAACGACTGCACCGGGGGAAGGACGGTATTAACCCTTTGAACTCTGTGGGCTCCAATATTGCACCAGTTATAATATTAACACAGCGTACCGGTAACGAGACATGTCGTTTTTATATAGACACTTAGCTCTGCAACTTCGGTAATTATCAGCATTGAAGAAAATATGAAATTTCATTGGAATTGATTATCTATTTAACACTAGAACTACAGAGCAGTTCATACGATTAATATGTAATCCCTATAAAAATTGTGACAATAGATTATTTTCAGTTTCTTTGGATATTCGTTATAGTATTCGAATGAAATGATTTATTTTCAAGATCATTTTGAATATTGAATACTTTTAAGATATCAATGATTGCAAAACAAGCAAATCGAAACCAATCATTTTGACTGGAACAGTAGACTGTAAGGCGCCCCTCGAGTGCAAAGGGTTAATCGTATTAAATGCTCGCTAGTTCTAGTGTTAAACAGCTCGCGGGTTCCCGAAGCTGAACACGTGACGCGCAATTAAGTGGCAGCCTTGGATTGTCTACGATAGGGGTTGTTTACAGGAATCGATTCGACTTATCGAAGTTTCTGTGCTTGTCAAGTAGAACTAATCGTAGGCTATTAGATACATATGTAAATCGATATTATCGGAGTCTTTAGAAGTACTTTGTACAGTTTTATAGCTCATTGATAATTCAGTATAGGGGAGTGAATGAATTCTAAATGTAATTGCAAGGTGTATTCGTAATTATACGGTTAGTCGATTCTTGCGCGATCTGCTCGGTCGAAGGGAACTGACTTGGCGTGCTAAGCGCATTTATTATTCCTCGATCTGCGCGATGAATGGGAAGAACGAGCGTGCTGCTCGAATAATATCGACTGCTGACGACGCGCGCGTGACGAATGGCCGATCGTCGCGAGGGGAGCGTAAATACACGGAGCATTCGATCGGCCGCGATGCGTTGCGCCGTTGTCGCAGACGAATCGCCGTAAAAGGGGCGCGACGGAATAATTACTGGGGAAGGGTGCTTCAACGGTCGACACCGTTTTACACTAATATCCCGCGTTAATGCGTCTCATACCGTGGCGGACGCCATTCCGCCCGCGGAACGCGGCAAAACATCCCGTATTCCGGTGCACGCGCACGCCCTGCTGCGACTGGTTTAATCGTGCGTTATTAAAATTACTGATTCGGTGGCGTCGCGCGGGATATTCCGTCCCCGCTCGGTTACGGGGTTGTAATGGAACGCCTGGATCCCGGCTGCGACGCAGCGCCACACCCCTTGTCCTCTGAGTCATCTTTCGATGCGCTCTTCCGACGATTTTGAAACCGCCTTGGCACGCCGCGGGATTTTTGAAATGTCTTTTCAATGATTCTTCGGGCAAGGTTCTTTCGATTATTCTTAGAACAATGGCAGTTAGTCTGTAAATATTCGGGGCTTCTAAGCTATCTTTTAAGAACTTGAACTATATTTTGAACAATATTCTTTAAATTACTATCGAATCTCGACTTCTGATACATTCTTTAACCCTTGGCGGAAAGATACTTTGAAACGTACAAAACCTTTAGCAAATGGAGCAAGGGGTTAACCCTTTGAACTCTGTAGGCTCCAATATTGCACCAGTTCTAATATTAAATATTCTAATGAATCAAAGAAACTACCCTACAAATATTAGAATTTCCACACATCCAAATTTTGTACTAACAAGGAAAATAAAAGATCGAAGAAATGTTGCATTTCTCATTTTCGGTAGGAATACTATAAAAATTCGTTGCAGTTATTGATAGATTACAAAACAACCTGGAGTGCTAAGGGTTAATACAATATCATCCAAACAATTCTCCAAACGACCCTCTCAAACACATTGCAAATCATCCACCGAACTATCGTCTAAATTGTCTACAGAACAGTTTCCAAAGAAACCTCCCCGCCTTTCGTCGGCTATTAATTTTCGGTAGCCCGATCCCGGGGTTCCCCGTGGCAGCTTTTCTGTGAAAACCGCCGAGCGAAATGATACGTGTCCAAGGCAGCGAAAGGGGTGGCGTTCACGCGAGCGGGAGCTGAATAGGGGCAGATTACTGGGCCACCCCTCGCGTCGAAGTGCAATTCGGTCCCCGCGAAAGGGGTAGCCCGGGCTTGACTAACGGACGACCAGCGTCGCGGCGCTGTCGCTAAACGCTCGTGTAATCCCCCCTGAATGGACACGCGTTCCGCTTCACGGAGATTTCGTGCCGGATAACCGTTCGACGACGCGGTAATTACGTTTTTCACGCGGCCGTTCACGGTCTTAGCATGTCACCCGTGAAATGGGAATATTTAAATACATTTGCGCGGCTACGGGGAGAATTAAAAATTCAGCGACCGTGTCGCCGCATTTAACGGGGAACGGATCGATCGTTCTTTTCGGCCGCCGTTTCAACCCTTTGAAGGATTCTCGGCGAGATTGAAATTTTCATATTTAGAATACTTGCAAACGTATTTAATTACTCGAACAACCAGAGAGTGTACAGTTCTCTTTTTCCCTATCGTTTAAGCGTTGCATGTATAATTTAGCTTCATACGTTGCAAGTTTTCTCTACTTTAACCCTTAAACACTGAACGCTTAAATCAGAGAATAAGGAAACTGTGTACTAATCTCTTGCTGTTCGAACAGTTGAATCATTTGTTTACAACCGGGTATTCCAGTGGAAGTTTGATCTCAGCAAAATGCCGACATTCGTCCGCAAAGGATTAAAGAGTCTGCAAAGGGTATCCCTTTACGGAGCAATTTTACTTTACTTTTACTCATTGCGATATCGCTAATTTTTATTGTTTTACTGTTATTCTTATGATATTTACAATAAACGCGTTGAATACCGTGCTAGGTCGCTTCTGCGATGTTTCCGCGTGTTACGGTATTTTATGCGGTGAGCAAAGTGGAAATACTTTCGATGATCAGGAAAAAGCGTCGGTGAAGGAGAAAAGAAATCCAAATCGACGCTCGCTGGAGCTGGAACACGGCAGCCCCGCGGATAGCAAGAAATCACACGTGCCTGGGATCGCGACGCGCACGGGGTACATCGGTTCACGCGATTCCCCGCGGTCGAGTCGAATAGAAAGCAACGGGGCGCGCGCGCGGACCGCGATCGCGCGGCGATCGACAGTCGGACTCTTCCCTTTTTCATTCGCCCGTACAGGTTTCCCGCCCGTCGGCCGAAGTTTCATTTAAAACAGGTTCCGGGCGCGCCTTTGGCCTTATTATTGACCGTCGCCGGCGAACGTCCGCGCCGCGCTGCCCGGCGCAATTTGTCGTCCGCGACGGACGCGGCGCAACACGAAAACTACCGAGCAGTTCGATTTATTAAGCGGATTTTTTCGAAGTTCTCTGTAGAGTCCGTAAGAGTACATACATTGGAACTTCGATTGATTTATAATTTGCAGATATAAGTTTGAGGATTGTTAATAATTATTGAAATTTCCAAAGTATCCCAAAATGATTTGGAAAGTAGCTTCGCTTACGTACTGCCGAGAATATCTGGAAAACACGTTGGAATCTTTAGAAGCGTTATATATCAACCCCAAATTCACGGTAGTTCTAGTATTACCCTTTGAACTCTGTAGGCTCCAATATTGCACTGGTTATAATATTACATGTTTTAATGGATCTTAAAGAAACTACCCTAAAATTGCTAGATTCTCCACACGTCCAAATTTTGTACTAATAAAATAAAAGATCGAAGAAATGTTACAGTGTTTCTCATTTTCGCGAGGAATACTATGAAAATTAGTATGGAGTGCTAAGGGTTAATAATTCCTCAGAAAAGCATCTGTCACCCTTTCAACGCGTTGGATGTCATGGAGGTCACCGGTGACCCCAACCGAATGGAGTCACTGTAGTTCATTCAACACTAGAACTACCGAGCATTTAGTACGATTAATATGCAATTCCTATAAAAATTGTAACAACAGATTGTTTTCAGTTTCTTCAGACGTTCATTATAGTACTCAAATGAAACTATTTTCAAAATCATTTCGAATATTTAATGCTTCGTATCTACGATATCTATCAATATTTGCTAAACAAAGAAATCGAAACCAGTCATTTTTACTAGTACGGTAGTTCTAGTGTTAAACGATGATTATTTGAAACTATTGCTATATGATTAATAACGCTACCTAACGCGGTGCCTTTTTTTCCAGACTTCCTGGTTTTCTTCTTTTTCTTTATCCTTGTCTTCCTTGTTCCTCTTTTTTGTCCTTTCCGGAGACCGACTGAACTCGGAAACTTCGATCGTCCCGGATACGGAGTACCTGCGATCGTGTTCGGTCGCGAGATTTAAATAGATCTCCACGTTCACTCGTGATTTATGCGCGTTCTCGCTTTCTTTTGCAGGCCTGAAGTACCTTCACTCCGCCAGGATCCTGCACAGGGACATCAAGCCCGGGAATTTACTGGTCAACAGCAATTGCGTACTTAAGGTGAGTCGGAACACGTTTCTCGGGTGTTTTCGCGCATTCCTGTGAATTCTTGACGGTTTTACTTCGATCGAACTTTTCTGCGAGCCTAGATCCTTCTACGTTAGGTCCTCTTAAAATATTAATCATCTAGAAACTCAGTTCTCGCTCTGAAAGCTTCAAGAGATTCAAAGTGAATAAAGAATTCCATCGAATTCCCGATGAATCATTTCTTCCGTTACGCTCTACGAGCCCTTGATCGCTGCGCACGCGTGAAACCGACGGTTCACCGGTGACTTTCTTCCGTAGACTGTCAGTAAAAGACGAAACGAACGGTTCAGCCACAGATGCAGAAGCTTAACCTCTTGACTCGCAATATGGAGCGTGGCGAAAGTTTCGAAGTCGCTTGTCCAAACGCGAGCATCGCTCGTCTTTTTGCAGTCGAAATGCAGCGGCATTTTTCTTATCAATATTCAGTGTTCGAAGTGAACGCACGGTGAAAGTAGAATCCCTTTCTCTTCTAAGAAATTGTTAACTACGAGATGATATTGGCGAACGCGGTTGCAACATCGCGAGGTTAACGCCCATCCTTCGCGTTTTTGCTCTCCGTTCCTCGCTACGGAATTTCCGTTAACGTTATTCAATCCGAGAATAGTTCAACACTTTGGCTGGTTCATTTTGGAAGATGACAAGCATTGAAATTTATAACAGAAAGCAGCGATTCTACGCTGAAGAAGCGAATTGAAAATACATAAACTTCTCTCGTATGAAACTTAATTATCTTAGGAACTAAGATAATGTTCAGAGAAGTTCGCTAATGACGATCGTAACTCATTTATACTTCCTGTAACTATCAATCACTTAGTGTGAGATAAACTTTCGAAATTGGTTATCTCGGAAACAATTGTTAAAAGTGTTCTACACTTTCGATTCACTTTTTCGCTCTATTCCTGATTGTAGCACGATAATTACAATAGATAATAGAAAGGTGTAAGAAACATAAAAGAGATTTAACCCTTTGCACTCGGAAGTATTTCGTTAGCAATACTTAACATTTTCTAACTAGACAAAGATGACTGCTTTTTAAATGAATTCAAAGAGAAATCACAGGTAAATTGAGAAACAAAGCTTTTGTATCCCAATATTTCGCGCACCGATGCATTATACATAGTTCAGTATTAAATATTAAATTTTCTAATTTTACTGCGTCGAATCAAATGGTGACTGAGAGTCACCTCTCGAGTGCAAAGGGTTGAAAGTGATACTGAAGCACGATCAGAGATATAAGATGAAAATTCAGTAAAAAGAATTGAATAAAATCCCTCGGAAAACAGATCTGCGACTTCGGACTGGCCCGAGTGGAGGAAACCGACCAGAACAGGCCCATGACCCAGGAAGTGGTGACGCAGTATTATCGCGCGCCGGAAATCCTGATGGGAGCGCGATACTACACGGACGCCGTGGATGTTTGGAGCGTCGGCTGCATTTTCGGCGAGCTACTTCGCCGGAGGATCCTCTTCCAGGCGCAGAGTCCTGTGCAACAGGTTAGTCCTTCGGCCAGTTAAATGATTAACACACCTGTCGCGACTGGTTCGCTGCGATATCCCCTTTCCCTGCGAGAGATTCACGAAACACGGAGGACGAATCAGTGCATCGTCGACCTAAAAGTCTCCTTACTCGGTTTCCAATACAGCATTTACCGAAATTAATTGAACATTAACCCACTCGAGACGGCCATTTTTTTCACGGTCCCCAGGAGCGACATTCTGTCACGGGGTTTTCCAAGTTTTTTAACCCTTTGAACTCTGTAGGTTACAATATTGCCCCAGTTATATCAAATATTTTAACGAATCGAAGAAACTACCCTAAATTTATTAGATTTTTCACACATCCAAATTTTCTACTGAGAAGGAAAGTAAAAGATCGAAGGGATGCTATAGCATTTTTCATTTTCACTAGAGACACCATAAAAATTATTATTGTCGGTGAGTATGTTCATTTTGTTTTCCTATGCTTTACAGATACTATTAATTCAAAAAAAGTCTTATCTCGACGACTTTACTCAGAATGACTGACAAATCATTATTATTATTATTGCACACATTGCTATGTGAATAACTGACTATATGAATAACTGGCAAATCATTATTATTATTATTATTATTGCACACACGGTGTGCAACCAGTCTTATAGCCTCGAAAATCACACGGTGTGTAATCAGTCTCGAATGGGTTAAAGACAAGCGAACATTCAAAAACGAGAATATTCGAACAGAATCTACAATCTCTAACATATTCAACATTCCTGATATCTCTAAAATCAATTCCTCCAATCGTCCAATTCCAACCTCCACTAAAATCAACCCAAAGATCCCAACAACGATGAAAATCACGTACAGAATCCCAAGTCCCAAAATGAACCGAGCACGAAGAAAATTCATCCCGCGACCCCAAGCTCGCCCGAAACTCCCCGAAGCCGGCCAGTAAAGAGCCAGAAGAGCGGCGAACAATTTTATATAAACTCGTATCAAAGTCGAGTCAGCGATCAAAGGAGCAAACGTTCGCAAAGGGGATCCGGTCCGAGGCAACGATTCGTTTTCCGCTCGTGTCCCCGGTATAAAACTGTTTTCGGAATCGTTCCTCCGTGCGCGCGTCCGTCCTCCTCGTTGGCCGGTCCCTCGAAAATGACCGCGTTATAAACTCGCGCACGTACACGTCCTCCCTTTTGCAGCTGGAGCTGATCACGGAATTGCTGGGCACGCCGAGCCCCGAGGACATGAGGTACGCGTGCGAGGGCGCGAGATCCCACATGCTGAGGCGCGCGCCGAAGCCGCCCTCGCTGACGGCCCTCTACACCCTCAGCAGCCAGGCGACGCACGAGGCCGTCCATTTGCTCTGCCAGATGCTAGTCTTCGATCCCGTAAGTTTTCAACGCGCGACGATTTTTCTGGACGGTTGTACAGTGGCGCTGGAAAGTTCCGAGCTGATCGTTTTTGGGATTTTCGATGCTATGGGTTTAACACTTTTAGTGGCAGCGGGTTGATATGCGAAAATATTGTAATATAGACGTTTATTTAGACGATGACAATTTTTATATTTTTCGTTGTCAACACAAACTTCGTTTTTTTTCAATAATACGCACGCTATTCCATTTTATTGCGCGCAACGAGAGATTTTTCAAACTAAATTCCACACTTAACTGGTTAAGCACGAGTAACAGAAAATGTACTATCACTAAACAGCGAATGCTGGTAAATCCGTAGTGCAGAAAGTATAGAAAGTAAAAGCTACAAGAGATCAGTAGAAGCGAAGTGAAACTATTTATTTTCAAAATCATTACGAATATTCAATTTAAGAAACAAAAAAGCTAAAACCAGACATTTCGACTGTAGTTCTAGGTCATTCCTCGGAAAATCGTTCGACACATAACTCTGAATTTGCATTTTACTCTCCATAGAATCTTCGTCAAAGGGTTAAGTATAATATTCCTCCAGCGTTATAGTTCCATTGTTTAATACACTGCCAGGGAACGTTACCCGCGGCGTTTCAGATTTTACGAAGGCACTCGGTGAATCGAGTGCCGGTAATTAAAGGTAAAAGAAACGGGGGATCGAAGCTAATTACAGGAACTCTCTAATATTGCACGCCTAACTAATTGAAATTTAATGGGAATCAACGGCTCGCAGGAACGACTCCGGGGCGAGCTCGAATTATTCATGAACCGGGATCCCAAGTTCGAGAGGCGCGCTCGCGTATCCTTCCCGGTTTCGTCACTCCGTAAAAAATCTCGGAACGAGGGTCGCGACACCGTAAAGTCGCCGCGGAATCGGTGCCCGTAACAAAAGTTGCAATAAAATCTTTACTGCGGAGGCTGTCCCGTTGGAGACGGGCTCCGAGCCGGCGGAAGGAGGAGGAGGAGGTGGCGCGAGCGTATCGCCCGCCGGTGAACACGCGTTCCGTTTATCAGAATTTCAGCGACATGTACGGAACGGATCTACCGTTATCAAGCGTTGTCCAAATAATATCGCGACGGGCAATGTTCGAATTTTTAAATAGTTTTTTTGTAAAAACCGATTTATGAGGTTTCGCGCAATGTGAGAATAGAAATTAAAGATTCGATCGTTGAATATCATGATTAAATAATATTATCAGAACGTGGAATAATAATTAGAGTAACTAATATTTCAGAGACATTAATAATCTTGATTATAGATTTTATCAGTTTCTAATCATTAATCTTTCGATTAACAGACGTTTCGGGTTACTGTGAAACTTATATTTTATTGACCATTTGCACTTGAGTTTTTCAATGGAAATATTCAACGTTTTCCGATGAGATGTAGGTATTGTTTGACACTAATTTAAGGATAATTCATAGATGAATTAAGCAGAGGTGTTTTATTTCAATATTTCACGTAGCGATGCAAACTATTTGAAATGTTAATTACTCGATATAATAAATGATTTAATTACTCGAACAGCAAGAGATCAGCACTTATTTTCCTTTTTCTATTAATCAAGCAGTTGATATATTTAGCTTCATCTATCGAAGGTTTCGTACGTTTCAAAGTATCTCATACCGCAAAGGGTTAAGTATTAACCCTTTGCACTCCAGAGGCGCCTCTAAGTCACCAAATGATTTGACACAGCGACACTGTAAACTTTGATATTTAATATTAAAGAAAATGTTAAAGAAAATAGTTCTCTTCCTCGATGCATGTGAGATTTCTTAATTCAATCTAAGAAAATGTCTGTCATTAGAAAATATTGAATATTCCCGGAAAAACTTCTGAAGTGCAAAGGATGAACATTCTGGAATGCACGGGAATAAGTATAATGGAATGTTTATCTCAGTTTTTACAGCGTGTTCCGCGATGTTTCGTGAATATTGTAAAATTGACCAACGTTGAAGTGGCAGTTATATAATATTCTATTCGACGCGAGCACACAGTGAATTTATAATAATTCTATTAAAGATGAAATGGAAGAGATACGTCGACTTGTCCCGTTAAAGGAGTTAGAGCGCGGTTAACGCAGCGAGGCTTTACGCTTTCCTAAATCTCTCGCGCTGAAACGCGCCGTTTCGATGTTTAAACGACACTGCGGGACTGGGCCGCGAAAGGGAACGCCGGGAGACGCTTCCTTACTGCCTTTTAAGCTGCCCGGGACTCTAATAAAAGTCAACCGTCCCTCTATTATTCACCGTGACAAATAACGCGCGCGCCTCGGTTCCTGAATTAGTATCGTGCCCGCCAAAGTCGATTTATTTCTGGTGGTCGCGAGGAAATCCAATTAGAGCTTCATTTAGAAGAATCCTCGATTCTTAATCTATCAGAATTCCTCCCTGATTCTCTCCCCTTAATCGTTTTAACGATTAATCTCGTTACGGACAATTTTGCGGACAACGAATCTCCTTTTAGCACTTCGATGTTTCTCTAAAATTCGAAAGCTAAAGGTTCAATCGAAGTTTTTCTAAGATCGTTCCAGTTAAATAATCTGTTTGGTGTGTTGTATACATTAATTACGATCTGAATATAAGAATCTTATAGTTTCTTTGTTGATGCACGTGTCTTGTGAAAGAACAAAGGGTTCTACCCAAATTTTTCATTCGAACATTGGACATTTTTTTTTTTACTTCACGATTGTAATATAGAACACAATTATAATAGACTCCCCGGATAATTTTCATTTCTACACTTGTCTCACGGAAGAACAAAGAGTTCTAACGAAGTTTTTCATTCGAACATTGGAAATATATTTTAGTTACTTTCCTATTGCAATATAGAACACAATTATAATAGACTCCCCGCCTAATTTTCATTTCTGCATCGAAACGGAGTATTTGGGAAAGCGTCTTGCGTGTTTCTTATGAAATTCGTTGCATTCGTTGGACTCTGATGAATGCCCAGCGATTCGAACGCGAAAGTTTGGAAATACCGAAAGCCGAGTGACCCACAGAACTGTCTGAATTTATTAATCGATAATTCATCGAGCGACGCAACTGCAGGGGGCGGCAGCCACCCGTTAATCCAAATCCGTCGAATCGATCGCGTCGCGTCGCGAGAACCCGTCGAATTTATTCGGCCCAGCAGCTCTCGCGCGCTTTTTATCCACCGCCGCCGAGTTCGCGAACACCAGTGGTTCCCAAACTAGACGACACTACCCTGTAGAACCGCTAAAATGATTTAGGAAAGCGGCGACAGCTTTCGTTGTCAGAATTCTTTTATTTCTTTCGTTGAACTCTATAAGGACGTCTGTACGGCATTGATTCTGATACAAAGTTAAATACATACCAGAAGAAAGTATGAAAAACTCGAAAATATTATACATATCTAAAATGTTAGATTAATGTAGGACTAGCAATTAACCCTTTTCACTCTGTAGGCTCCAATATTGCAGCAGTTATAATATTAGATATTTTAATGAATCAAAGAAACTACCTTAAAATCTTTCGATTTTCCACGCATCGAAATTTTGTGCTGAGAAGGAAAATGAAAGATCGAAGGAATGATATAGCATTCATTTTCGCTAGTGATACTATAAAAATGAGATGCAGTTTCTGATAAATTACAAAACCATCTAGAGTGCTAAGGGTTAAATGATAGACTAAAAATCCGAACCGGAGTCGGCGCGCTGTGTTAAGAATACCTAAAGAAACCAAGAATCTATCTTTGACCGTGCAAAGACGAAGAAAGTTGCTAGAAAAAAGACGTTCCACTTGGATGTCGAATAATTCGATGTATTCGTTTTCGTTCGGTTTTTTGAAAACGATCCGATAAGGCGAGTCAAATTGGGAACCTCTGGCGTTAGAGTAACGCGGTTAACTAGGCTCATAAATAGCGCGCGGAGTGTACCCGCTGGTCGGGTCCCTCGCAACCGGCCGGTCCGTTTTCGACCCCCGGGCTCTATCGATCGTTCGTTGACCCCGTTCCACGAAACTTCCCGCAGGACAAGAGGATCACCGTGGTGGACGCCCTGGCGCATCCTTACCTCGACGAGGGAAGGCTCAGATACCACTCGTGCATGTGCACGTGCTGCTACACGACCAGCGCCGGCATGAGACAGTACACGGTGGACTTCGAGCCAGATTCGTCTCACGTGTTCAACGATCTCTGGGAACGGAGACTCACCACCGTGCAGCAGGTGAAAGGTAAGGGCCAAACATTCGAAGATAGCTAGCACCGTCATTCGACGTTTCCATTGAATGGACTGCGGATTTTTGTTGGGGTGGAATGATTTTTGTGGAAGCTTGATTACTCGTTTGATCGGTCTGTAGCAACTCCAAGGGTACAATTCAGTTTTCATTTTGCTAAATCAATGTCTTCAATAATTTCTCAAAGAAACGTCCATTCCCCTTTTAGTCATTGCAAAAAGAAATCAAATCGGTAATTTCGACCCAGTAGGTTCAGTGTTTACCCTTTGCACCCGGCAGTTTACCAGTAGAAATATTTGAACATTTTCTGATGAGATACAGACAATATATTATGAAATTAACTTGAAAGCTATTTTATTCCAATATTTCTCAAATTGACGCATTATACGTGGTACAATATTAAACGTTTGGATGCTAAACAACTTTCGTAGATATTAAAAATGCAGAAGTGACTGGGTGTGTGCAAAAATTAAAGAGCAGTTATCTAATGAGACAAATATTGTGTTATTACAGAAAAAAATCAAAAAAATTTATTCAAATAAATTTACTTCGATTTATTTCTCGAAGAACATAGTAAGAAAATTATAATTGACACTGATAAACAGAAGCGCATCAATTTTGGCACAAGAGCGCTATACTCCTCAGCACTCAAACGGTTAAACATCAAACTTTATAGTTTCACTATATGAACTCAAGTGGCCAGTAAGAGTCACCTCACGAGTGCAAAGGGTTAGCTTCAATTCCACTTCCCTTTATCCACCGATTGAACGTTCACGCAGTCCGTAAGCATTTCAAGCGTGCACAATGTTGAAACCGATCGAGTCGCCAGCAGTTTAAACTAATCGATTCGTCGAGCACGGCGCTAGTCGGATTAGCCGCGCGAATAGAAGAAAAGGAAAAGAAGAGGGGAAAGAAAGAAAGAAAAAAGAAAAGGAAATACTTGGTCGTGACTCACGTGCATTATTAATAGTCGAGCGTCTCGGACACGTGGCGGGCCGCGCCGCGGCGAGAACAATGATGCGATAGACTCTCGCGTGCGCCTGGAACAGCCTCGGCAGCGATAAACCATAATTTATCACTGGCCCGACCAGGAGACCGTGAAGTTAACGTATGCCTTTCTTCCCCCGGTAATCGCCTCGAAACTGGGTAACTAATATCGCGGTTAAAAATTGCGCCGCTCGCGCGCGCGCGCGTGCTCGTTCCTGAAGGGTTGCTGGAACTCGATCCCTGGAAAAGGAAAAAATCAGTTCGAAGAAATATGTCGGGGTGTTGCAGGAAATATCGCGTGCCTCGGGGCTGCGGCGAAGGCACCGATAATTTCTGAGGGTGACTTTTAATCGTTAACCCTTTGCACTCGAGACGTTTTCCCTGGAAATGCTCGATGTCTTCTAACGAGCTGCAGATGAGATTTTCTGAAGTTGGAGCAGTCGCGGAGAAATCACATTCAAGGAAACTGTTTTCTCGGAATATTTCATATTGCTTGAGTTGTGTATTAACCTTTGCACTCGGAAGTATTTCGCTGGTACTTAACGGTTTCTAACTGTACGAAGAGGATATTTTTAAATGAACTCAAAGGAAAATCGCAAGTAAATTGAGAGAAAGCTTTTTTATCCGAATATTTTATACATTGATGTGTTACACAGTTCAATATTAAATGTCAGATTTTATAGTTTACTGCATCGAATCAAGTTGAGAGTCACTTCTCGAGTGCAAAGGGTTAAATATTGAAATTTAGGATTTGGTGTCGAATCTGTTGGCGACTGACAAGCTCTGTGCAAAGGGTTGATATCGACACGTTGACTGCTGCTTTACATTATAATTCATAATTCGAATGATGTTCAATAGTAAAAAACTGGATAACAGTGTAACGTAAGTGTGGTAGAGAATAATTAATGATTGTCGCATATTATCTACGTGGAACACTTTCGTGGTAGTCAACGTGTTAGACCTCCGGAGAATATTTTTTGTTCTCTCGCGGACATTTCACTCTGGACTTTCTCTTCTGGTAGTATATTTGTCAAAGTGGCTGTTATTAATCATAATTGCTCGCGTGTAACGACGATTTGAATTAACGATTGAAATCAGTTTAAATAACTGTGTTAAAGGCACAGTGTATATACAATATTCGAAATTGTCCAGTAGCTTCCTGCAATTTTCGTTTATTCCGTCGTTTTGGTCTCGAGAAGAAAGAGTTCAAACGGAGAAAAATACAGACCGCAATTGGAAAATTACGCAAGCTAAAGTACAGAGTAGAATCGTTCCAGTGATTTACACACGCGCACAGCTTACTTCAGCAACAGCCATCGCACACAATCCAAACCGATTTCCGGCGCCCAAATGGATCGAGCCGCGCTTGTCCCGCGTAAATCGCGGCGGTCCCCCGTCCCCCGGCCCGAAGAAACGTATTCGCGACAGGCCGCGCGCGAGTTTGCGCCCGGCAGTTTCTCATCCTAAAATCCACGGTTGTCTGTTTCAGAGGAAATGCACAAATTTATAGCGGAGCAGCTGAACACGTCGCGCGTGCCGCTCTGCATAAATCCGCAGTCCGCGGCGTTCAAGAGCTTCGCAAGGTAAGCCGTAGGTGGCGGATCGTCCAGGTTATCCTTATCGAACGTAAGAAAGAGAAAACAAACAAACAAATAAAAAAAAAGAAAATGTCAAATCGAAAAGAACAATAGAGTACGAGGGACAAGACGAAAAAGAGAAATCTGTGAATCACTGAAATCGGGTAAACAAACGAGAAACGAGAATCGTGCGACGAAAGATCGGTCGTAGAGAAAGAGGGGAGAGGCGGTTCGAGATCGCTGCAGGGGACGAATGATGACGATGATCTTTGTTTCTAACAGAAGGAAAAACAAACCGGGTACGCGGGAATTGAAGCCTCCCTTCACAGACTACTTCCACCACCCCCCGAAACACCTTTCTCCGTTTCGTCCGCCTCGCCATCCTCTTCCTCGACACGCCTTTGCATCTCTCCGCGCGAGATTATCGTAAATCCGGAGGATCGAGAGTGGGGAGGAAATCAGAGGGGCAGAAAGGGGGAAAACGATTTTTCGCGTTGCACACGGGAAAGAGGGTGTCGGAAGGGGGTTAAACGTGTCGCAGTTTCTCTCTCTCTTTCTCCGGCCTCCCATTGTTTCCGTGGATTTCCACCCTTCGCTGTGTAATCTCGTCGAAGATTGGGAGAGAAAGATGAAAGGGTGTGTAGCGATACGATCGAAAACTTGGAAACAGAGGATGAACGACTGGGGGGAGAGGGGTAGAGAAAGAGAGAGGGAAAGTGGTCGAGCGTGTCGTGGGCGGAAATTAAAAACCGCGGAGGAAACAGGAAACAGCCGGAGCGGGAAGGATCGATGATGGGAAAGGGCCGAGGGGCGGAACGATCGAAACCAGCCAGGGGAAACGATCTTTTGTCCCGGACGACCCTCCTCCCTTTAACGTCGTTGCCGCTCTTCTTTTTTTTCGGCTTCAGCCTTCGCCGGACACTTCCGGAAGTCTTCCTTGGGATACGATCACGAATTGAACCGCGTATCGCGCGATTAACTGTGTCCGTAAATCGATCGAATCGGTCGAGCAGGTGATTGAACGTTCTTTTCGCTCGAGCTGAGGGACGATTGGTTTCCTTCGACGATGCTGGACGGATGGTGGGGGGATTTGCTTGGAGATTAGGTTTTTCCGGGGCTGATGAAGCTTTCTTGCGCGCTCCATGACGTCGTTCGGCGCCTTTAATTCCTCGACTTTCTTTCGATTCACTACGGGTGAAACGAACGGACGCTTCGTTTCAGCGGAAATTCAGTCAAAGGGACAAAGTTGAAGTAATTCGGCTAAAGATTGATTCACCGTGTTGCTATTGATTAAATCGAGAAAGTAGGCAGTTTGAACCGAGTTCAACTCCACCTGCGCGTTACTGATAAAACGTTCCATCAACGTTATCGTACCGAGTATATCCAAACAGAGTCAGATTTCTTCGTTTTCACGGTGGATTAATTCGATTAAGATTACAGCGAAGAAGCATCAGCTCTATCGAAAAAGCAGCCAACTGACGACCTCCTGTTGCCATTAACATTATTTCAGAAACGTCAGCTCTAAAGCGGAAACGTTCACGATAATTCCCTCCACCGTTCACCCTCGATCCGAAGCGAACCGTCCACGTCCATCGAGCGAAACCAAGAAAGTGTCAATACCGAGAACTGCGAAAAAAGGCGATCCGAAAGAACGAGAGAAAAGAAAGAAAACGAACGATGGGAGAACGTATATTTTCGTCTCAGCCCGCCGACAGAGAGAATCGTAGAGAAAATATGTTCACGGTTCGTTCCCCCGAGCCCCGAGAGAGACACGCCGAGGGCGAACGAACCGAACGAAACAAAGAAAATGAGAGAGAGAACGAATATTTGGTTATCTCGCCACCCAATTATATTCTGTTTCTTGATGACTTGATTATTGATAGATATGTAACATATATGTCTCGTGTTGGTTATTGCCGTCAAGTTAGAGCAAGCCGATCGCCGACCCAGCGCCCTGCGCCGCGTATACGTACACGTTACCACTACTACCAGTACCGAATCAGCTATCTACCACTGTCAGCTACTATCGACTACTACCGCTATCGTCTACCACTACTACTACTACTACCACTACCGCTACTACCGCTACTACTACCAATCGTGTTACGTCTCCTCCTGAACGAACCGAACGAACCGAGAGTCAGCTCTAGTCCGGACGCG